TTAATTAACTTGGAATTTATGAACACCACTGTGCAACAAAGAAGAGATGTTGTCTTTTTGAGAAAAAACCTGCAGAATCAGACTGGGAAAGAAGACTTTTCAGGTCTGAAAGTTCAGAGTCTTAAAAAAAAAAAAAAAAGACAAGTTGTCTTTTTGAGAAAAAACCTGTCAGAATCAGACTGGGAAAGAAGACTTTTCAGGTCTGAAAGTTCAGAGTCTTAAAAAAAAAAAAAAAAAAAAGGCAAGTTGGGTATTTCTAAGAATTTTACTTTTTATAGGCATGTCTTTCTCGAGAGGAATCCTGCATTAGCAAACCCACCATTAATTTCTTTGGATGTGTTCCACAGTGCAACAATGCCAAATGCATTTTAGCAGCTGGGTCTTTTTCTTGTGCCATCTTGCTAAACATTGGTTGAAATCCAAAAAAGCTTGTAAGTACACAAGGGGATATTGTAGGTGATCCCACTGCTTTAGGTGCAGACAATTACATGCTCAAAGGTAAAGCTCATTCTTCAGTAACTGCCTCAATCGATGAGACAGCAGCCAGCCCCTCTCATCATCTTCCTGAGAGAAAAACACAGCATCATATAACAGCTCTGAAACACCTGCAGCAGCCCTAAAAGTCCATTTCCCATAGCTTTGAGAAAGATCAATGTTACTTGGTATAAGTTTTTTTTTCTCCATTCTTCCCTAGTCCCTCCTCTTCCCCGTTGTATTCTAAACTTTTGGGTTAATGCAGTCCTCTGGAGGCTAAAAGGGGCTTGACCTGGTGTAAAAAGCAATGTTTTTCCCATGTAATAAATATTTAAAACGTTTTATCAGTGTAAATAAATGCTAAATTCTGTGAGCCCAGGGAATGGCATTAACGTGTTTTGCTTGCTGAAACATTTATGGAATCAGTGTCAGCCAACAGAACACAGCCAAGAGGATTTTTTTTAAAGGTAAACTGAAGTGCTTTTAAAATAAATACTGAGAGTTGTTTAAGATCTTCAATTATTAACAGATGAAAAGTGTGGGCTGAAAAAGTGCAAACAATCCCTTTCATTGCACTTTCCCTAATCCCTGTGCAGTTCTCTGTGTCCAGCCTGGAGTGAGCTACTCAAGGCAGATGCTGCACCTTAACAGATGTCTGCAGAGAGTCTAGCACACAAATGAGCAGATTTAGAATGCCAAATATTTGAAAGCCCTTTATTTTTATATTTACTTCTCAGGACTTAAGTTCAAGGCCCTGTGTTTATGGTTGGCCAGTGCTGCAAACATTGCCAGCCTCTGCAAAGAGCACTGTAAAAACTTGGCTCTGCTTTATAAAGCAGTTATTGGCATCACCTCCTTTAAATCCAGAGGCCAGCTCTGCAGTCTGATCACTGGCACTCTGATTTAATTATCATTATCAGCTGCACAGCTCATTGCTAGGAGTGCAAGCCTTACCTCCACAAGTGAGAAAAAAAAATTCCAAAGATATGCAGTGGTGTGAAGGCCTGTGTGGGGTTGTATGTATTGCACCATGCAGAGATTAAGAGCATAAATGAGTTGGGATAGAGAAATCATAATTAAATCAGAGTGCCAGGTGACCTGATCAGACTGCAGAGCTGGCCTCTGGATTTAAAGGAGGTGATGCCAATAACTGCTTGGCAGAGAAAGAGCCTGTAAGAGTGTGTAGAATTCTCACCACTGGTTAGAGAATCTTTGTGACTGCTTCTAAGGGGGTGGTTGGCCTTGATTCACTCTGATCAGGAATGCATCTGCACCTCCGGGGTTTCAGAACACAGATTTGATGTGTTTTGAAGCGTGTCAGGTTTTTATTAAAGAAGTCACTGTGTTCCACGTTCCCATCTTCCCCCATCCTTTAATCCCTCCTCCTCTGCTCTCCCTGTTCTCCCTTTGCCAGTACAACGAGTTTTCCAAGTGTCTGGGCATGGTTCCTCGTGCCATTCCTTGCAACAGCTCTTTGTGTTGCAAGCAGCTGCCTGACAGAATAAAGCAATTTTGCAGGCAGCAGCTGTGCTGCAGCAATGAGCTCGGCATCAATGTGGGGAGCCTGGTGATGTGCACGGATCTCCTGCCTTCCTGCAAGTAGCATCCATTGCATCTCCTGAGGGCATTTGTAAAGCTGCTGCAGAGTTAGTGGTTTTTTGTTTTTTTTTTAACATTTAGAAACTCTCTGAGTACTTTGATGGTCATGTATTTAAGTTTGGTAATGATTGGAATCATCTGGATTTAAAGCAGGCTGCCCTGAAGGGATGCTGCACAGTCCCCACATCAATTCATGCTAAAAGCACTCAGTACCTCATGTCCTCTTCAAAGCTGGCTTATTATTCTCAAGAAGCTTTTCTCTAATTAAGCTGTCTGAAGGTACTGTGCATCTTCTGGTGGTACATGTTCCTCTCAACCATCTAAACATCATCTCAAGCTGCTGGTGCAAACCTTTGTTTTCATACACCCTGCTCTGTTAACACAAAGGGCAATGCTTTGTGCAGATATTATCTTCTCTGGGCACTTTCATGGTGTGGGTGTTAATGAAGCTGTTTTTAAAATTAGAGAGCTCTTTTTTTCATCTTTTTTCTGTCATCTTGTCCCTCTCAAGAGTACTGGGTATAACCTTCCATGAATGATAAAATTAATTAATAGTAATAATTAAAGGTAAATTGCATAAAACCTGGTATTAGAACTCTTGAACTCATCAGCTTGGCTACATTTTGGATTAACAAGTCACTGAAAAGGGAGGATGTTGCAATTGGCCAACCAGCCTGAATCCCCAATGGCCTGGGCAAGCTCCCCAAAGGCCTTTACTGGTCCAGTTACATAAGCAAGGTAATTATGTAATCAACCACACTTCAGTTATAAAGCTGGGATTATTTATAACTGTGGTGGCCAGCTGTAGGCCACCACAGTAGGCCTTTATTTGCTTTTGTGAAGATTTAGTTGAAGCAACAAATATTTCCATCTGCAAAGTTTGTGGGGGTTGTTTTCAGGTTTGAAGCCATCTGTAGTCTTTTAACTTTCTTGTACTGTTGTACCCTCCTCGGTAGAAGGTGAGACATTGTTTTAATTTTCTGGGGAATATAACATTCCTGACCAATGTAAAGAACTGGAGCAATGCTGGTGTTGACTGCACTTCATTTTCTGTGCATATTTAGAATAAGTCGACTCAAAGATGTGGGCATTTAGAGGAAAAGGCTGACTGCCTCATGTAAGCACAAATTTTTTTATTTCTTTTTTTCCCCCCAGAGATATTGCTTATCAAGAAAAGCACCCAGAGGCAACTGAGCAAGCAGAGTGGCCCACTCTTGTACAGGATGTTTTGATGCTGTCAGTAATGTAGCTCATTTGAGAGTCTCTGTGGAAGCCAAGATGTTTCATGCAGAATGGCACTGCCTTTGGGTAGGAGCACATCCTTTGGACAGATAACTGATAACAGATAACTGAACCACTGTAGACACCTGAAAAAAAAAAAGTGTTCTGGCATCTGAGAGATGTTAGAATGCAGGCAGCTCTTGCTAGCAGGCAGTGAGGGATGCTGCTGGCCAGGCAGCTGATGCCACTCCTGGTTGTCTCTGCTGTGTTCCATCACAGTTGTGGAGCAAAGGCAGTCTCAGCCTTAGCTGTGAGCTGACAAGTGGATTGCCTACAAAGGAAAGTGCTTGTCGAGAGATGTGTCATCCTCATTAGAAAGTATTTAAATTAGGGGGTTTTGTTGTTTTTTTTAAAAAAAGCAAGTCTAAGATCTTAGATGATAGATTTTAAAAGTTATTAGTTATCACCAGCTCTCTTGGCAGATGTATAACCGACATTTACAACTCATGAATCACATTTTTCAAAAATCACAGCTAATACCAACTTCTCTGAGGAGATGACAGCATTTGCAGGAGACATTAATGACTTCTGGCTCTCAGTCATTGCAAAATCATGAGCTTGTAATTGTTCTGATCTGGCTATTTGTAGACTATAGATTTCAAGAGGTCTCTCAGTACTTCCATCATTAATAACTTGCCAGTGACAGGGATTGCCATCATTCCTACTCAAAGTGATAACTTTAAGATCTTTTTTAATGCAAATCCTTACTAAAGGCTTATGAGGCTGGCTTTATTGTTCTGGTTTTACAAAATGAGGGGAAGGAGACAGAGGGAGGCACATGAATCTGCAGCTTGAGTCAAGTGCATCTGAGGGTACAGCTGCTTAGTGATTTAGAAAACTTGGCTACAAGTCACCTTCCCTGGGCCACTCTGGGAATGTTTGGCTTGCTCATGATTAGGACTTTCAACAGTCTCATACCTTAACAATCATGTAATAATATTTTGCTCATATCCATTTCTGGGCAACCTCTGTTAAAAGGTGATCCGTAAATCTTGGGACAAAACCAGCGCTGCTGGTTTTGACTCTCCCTCTGTTGAGACTGAAGTTAGATGAGGTGGATGTGGAGCATGGGAAGATCCTAAGAGGGCTGGGAGCTCTCACCCAGCATGGGTTTGGTGGTTCTTGGGCATCTCAGGCTCTGCCTGATTTCTGGAAGCCTCCAGCAGCAGCAGCAGAGGGACATGAGTTCACTTTTCCCTCTCCCCCTGCTCTGGAGTGCAGCTCTGTGCACCCAGCATCTGCCCTCTCATGTGTACCATGGTTCTTGTCCCTCTTCAGACCAGGTTGTTCTTTGTTTTTCCTGTGCTTTAACTCCCCTCAATACCATGTGTGCAACATCTTAGGCCAGATTTTCAAGAACAAGCAGGCCAGCTGATACATCCCCTCCTCAGGATGGGGGTGTTTTGGGTGACAGGTAAGGTAATGACAGTTTCACTTTGGTCTGTGATCTTGGATGCAGTGGTAAGTTTTTGAAATGTTAGGGATCTTCTGGGAAAGATAATCTGTAAATGTACATCTTTGCATCATCAAGGTAATGAGTTCAGGTGAGGGGGAACAAAATAAAACTGAAATACTACTGTGCAATTTGTAGCCTCTCTGAATTTTGTTCTCTTGCTGATAAGTGGTCCCTTCTGTTCTCTCTGCAGGTCTCCAGGTGGTTTTAAATTCAATTATCAAGGCCATGGTCCCTTTGTTGCATATTGCCCTGCTGGTGCTGTTTGTCATTATTATCTATGCCATCATTGGACTGGAGTTATTCATGGGGAAGATGCATAAGACCTGCTACCATGTGCAAGGGGGACTGATAGGTAAGGGGGACAAACACACACAAACACACAGAGATTTTCAGAGGGAGGCTTTTCCCAGGTGGAATAGAGCATTTCTTCTGGCACAGGAGGTGGGTGGCTGTTGCTCACTGCTTATCAACTTCTTAGGGGTTTCACAACTTGACCACTGCAGACTGAGCTACACAGGAGATGGTGTCACAGAAATTAACAACTCATGTATTTTATTATTAATCTCATACACAAATGCATCTTTGTTGTAAAGGAATATATAATTCAGGGCAGTACCTTTTTTTTTTTTTAAGTCACAGGCTGCAACTTTGGTTAGAAGTGCCACCAGAAAGAAAACAAAATTAAATTAATGGGAAGAAAGTTTTTTTTACATCAAATCCATCAGGAAATTTATTTATTTCAAATTATTTGCAGAAAGAAATATTCACATTTCAAAATAATTCAATTGCGCTGTCACTCATCTAACCATCTGTTCATTTTTGTTTGATTTATTGATCTTGAACAGCAGCTATTTCTCATGTGGTAGAGGGTATTAATGCCTAGTACTCAGTTCAGCTCATAAGAAAATAGTGTACAGCAGAAAATTGTTTCAGAAGTTCTGCATTTTCTGCTTTTATAATGTTGGCAGATTTCATTTTCTGGAAATGATGCTAGAACTATAATGAACTGTCACTCTGGTTTGCATCTTTAAAGTGGGTGTATTTTTCTTCATTCTGTCTGGAAGTATTTACATTACAGCATCTAATTCTGATATTACTGTTTCTGGCATTCTTTCATTATCAGAATGTGATCACAATTTTTCAAATTTACATTGTTTGTCACGTAATAAGATGAGAAACAAACATAATTACCTGCTCCCCTACAGATACATACATACCTGCACCTGTTAAAAATGTAGCACTAAGATCTGAAATCTGTCTATTTTAAAAAAATCACATTGCAGAAGTTTTTGTGCTTATAAAAATGTTTTCTGGAGCATCCTTTATATACCAAAACATGTAGTTTGCTGTGTTGTATAGGCTGTCAGGTCTTTGAAAACACCTGCACAGAATAAGGGGTGGATAATCAAGCAGCAGCCTCAGTTTTGAGTGCCACCGGGCTACTGATAAAATGCCACCCATCATCTAAATGCCAAAAGAGCAGAGCTCCAGAGGCTCTCTGCTGTAATTCAGCATGGCCCAGAGCCACATCAGCCTGTCTGCAGAGCACTGGAGCCTGTCTGCTGCAGGGGCTCAGCCTCCTCCAGCAGAGCCCATCAGTGCTGGGCCCCCAAGGTTAAGCCAGGCGCAGGCTGGCCACGACACGATAGGCTTGGTCTAATGTTCCCTGTCGTGTTGAAAGGCATGAATGAGAATCCATTCCCTTGCAGGAGGGTATGTTTTGGAAAATAAAAGTTCATCTCAGTTTTGACTATAAAATTTGACAGCTTGGCCATTATTTTTATTTTTTTTTTTACAAAAAGAAAGCGAAGCGCGCCAGCGAGCAGTTGCCTGTGCGCTCCTGAGAAACCCGTCAAACTCGCTGCAGAAACCTGCTAAAAAATCTGATATCCTTTCACTCGCTTTCCAGCGTGCCAAATGGTTTCCTTCAGCTGTCTTTTTTCCCCCCCTTCTCTCTCCTTCAAGATACACCTGCAGAAGACGACCCGTCGCCGTGCGCTCCCCAGTCTGCGCACGGGCGGCAGTGTCAGAACGGCACCGAGTGCAAGGCGGGCTGGGAGGGACCTAAGCACGGCATCACCAACTTTGACAATTTTGCTTTTGCCATGCTCACGGTGTTTCAGTGCATCACCATGGAGGGCTGGACTGATGTGCTCTACTGGGTACGTATCCGAAAATGACGGGCTGAGAGTCCTGCTCGTGCTCACAGCTGTGTTGAAATGTGGGGGCTTTGGCTTTCTTTGCTTGTTCTCTACGGTGAAGGCATGGCTGAGTAGCATGGAGCTTGAATTAACTCAGCTTACTGTTAGGTAAAATGGAGGGGTTATCTTGTGCAATGAAATCAATTGTAAATGTTGACTTTCCACTGATATTTTAATTTTGGACGATAGCAGATGGCTTATTGATTTGAAGGTTTGCAATGTACCTTGGTTGTGCAGGAAGTCATTGAAAGACCCTCTCTGCAGGAGTGAAACATCTCATACGTGTCCAGATAACTGATGTAGGACAATTTGTGACAGACAGCCACGTGCTCTACCCATGGCATTTGTGTTACAAAGGCACTACACTGTTCAGCTCATAGGTTTGATAAGAAAGGCCTCACCAATTCCAGCAGAACTCCTGATTATGACTTTTGTCACATTCAAATGCTATTAGCTCTGATACTGGTATCAATCCTGCTTGCATGTTTAGCCAAAATATGATATTACCTGTAATACAAATGGAGTCTTAGCTTGTCCTAATATTAATAATAATATAATAATAATTTAGCCTAATTCTGGGCTTTTCAGCAGCTTTAGCTTGTAATTACTAATGTATTGGAAATTCACTGCAATACAATTACACTATAGGAGTTAATATCAGGTTTAGTTTTCACCAGTAAATCATAGACAAATGTGTTTCTGGATGCAGCTCTGGCCATCAGCTTTTGCAGCAGCGTGTTACAGCCCAGGACTTTCATTCACACACAGCACAGTCCTGTCTGTGTAAGACTAACCCAGACTCTCACCAACTTGTAGGGCATGTCATGACACACCCGGTTCTCCAGATGGTTGGATGTGTTAAAATGCATGATGCAGTTTGACTCAAGAAGGCTCAAAGCACACAAAAGGATAATCTGGACTGAGGCAGCTTGCACTGATAGTCAACAAGCTTCTCTCTTAAACATGAGCCTGAAGTTGCCTTCTACCCACCAGTGATTTAGAGTTTGCAAGATTTCCCTTTGAAGATTTACCTTATCTGCAAAGGATGGTCTCTGTGTGGAACAGCTAGAAGTTGTCTCTGTATGTTCTTAAGCTTAGATTAAAACAGTGACTATAGCTTCCTTTTCATGCTTGAGATAAAGGGCAGAGATCAAACCACGAGGGGAGTCTGGGTCTCAGAGAAAAAAAAATTGCCATTACTAGAAAAGAGGGTATAAATTAATAAAATAATGAAGAGCAGAAGTTAAAGTCAGAAGAGAAACTGGGCAAAACTGCTCCACAGTTCAACTATGGCCACATATAATATACCTATCTTTTTACCACATTTAGCTCACATTTCTCCATGCTGTGTGTGATTGAAAGGATTTATTTACAGGGGAAACAAGCGAGAGTAAATGATATCAGAAGAAGAAAAGAGAATAGTTTTGGCCCTGCATACCATTCAGAATTGTGAAACCTGTCCACAAGTTATCATCAGTTTCTCCAAAGACATGTGCTGAGAAAGACCCTTCCAATTCCCACCCTTTAGGGACCATGAGTCATTTTAATGACTTGATATGAATCATGTTTAACTCATTATCAGTTATCTAATAGCAGGAGCCAAAAGCATATACTCACTTCCAAAAGATTTTCTACCATGACTGCAGCAGACAGTCTGATTTTTATGGTGTCCCTGCAGCAAAATGGGTTTTAGTTGTTGGCTTTTGTTTGGTAGTCAGCCAGCTTTTTTTTTTCACTGATTTCCTGAGCTATTCCTTTTTATCTTTAGAGACAGATTGCTGAACTTAGACCTTAAATTAATACAGATTGATGGTCATTATTTTTAAGGGCGTGCATATAGTGAGCCTTTTAGATTATGGCATTGTTAGAGTGCTTGCTTTGGGAAGAGCAGAAATATTTGTTACCATCAGTTCCCAGTTATTCCTAACTGTAAAAGATAAGAGTTAACACTGCAGAAAAAAAATGCCAATAATTGAGGAGGAGGGAATTTATTTCATAAAGTAAAACACTATCACCTATGTTTAAAAAGACCATAAAATACAAAGTTTGAGTAAATACCTGAACACTTGAGCAGGCAGATATATTTGGTTAAGCTGCTGGAAACAATCCCAAGAATACCATTGTCCTGTATGACCTTTGCCTCTTTGTGCTCTGGTGGCAAAGCAGACAGAATTCAGCTCTGCTCAGTGTTTGCCATTTGGTAAAGGAGGTGTCTGAGGTGTTTCCTCCTGCAGAAGGGTCTGGGCCATGCTGGGGGCAGGTGTTGCTTGGGCACCCAAGGAGAAACAATATTGCTTAATATTGATGTGTAGGAACAGCCTCTAAACACTCACACTGTCATTTCAGCCAATATCCAACCACTATCATGGTTTACACAGTCAGGTTTAGAGTCCATGGCAAAGGCATTCCTGCTTAATTTAGCCACATCTAAAGGAAGACTACTCTGGATAGCAAAGGATAGAAAAGATGCAACATTTCAGTTGTTGGAGAATTTTAATAAGTGAGGTAGGATACGAATATCTCTCTTAACCTTACTGTGAGCCACTGTTTCCTTACTGCAGTCTGACTCATGCATAACTTTATTCCCAGTCTTTGCCTTTTTGGCTGAGGAGGAGTGGACTTGCCATAGAAAACCCATGGGGAGCTGCATCCCCACAGGGTGCAGAGATAGGAGACTTCTCTTCTCAGCTCTGAAAGATCTCCCGAAACTACAGTGAGGTCACAAAAATTAAATTTTACTTTATAAGGAACTAAATCTGCACAGTTATTTAAGTTAGACACACAGAGTTTGTTGTCCATTTAACACTGAAAGTACAGATCAAAAAACAGTGTAAGAAAATTTTGACTACAAATTGGACAGTTTTGCAGACAAAAATTAAACTTAACAATGTAAGCTAATGGGCTAATATTTAAAAGTGCTGAGCATTCAAAGCTCAGGCAGACTTTCATGTTCTTAGCTCCTCTGCAATTCAGGGTAGATAACAAGTTTGAATCTGGGGTCCTGCTGGGGTCAATGGCAAAATTCTCATTAATTTCAAAAGGTCAGGATCTCACTTTGTATTTTGCAAAATCTTGATCATGCTGCTGAGATTTCTCACGTGCAGTCATAGTACAACATGAGGACTTACAGATGCCTGATCAAGGCCTTGGTATCTGTTGAGATTAGTCTTCCAAGGACATACATGTGGATGCAGAGAGTTTTCTTTGCTCCCTTCTTAAATCTGAAAATGTGTGCCTGACCTAAAACTCAGCAGAACAACAGATAAAGCTCTGGGCTGAATTATTTGGCTGGAAGTGTTGAGACCATGGAGCAATTCCCTTGCTTTGAACTTTTCTTTAAGAGCTTCTCAATTATATATTCTTATTTTCTTTAAAAAACATATTAAAAAAAACAACCCAACTTTTTAAAGATAGCTAGATCTCTGCATTCTTCTCGGTGGGAATGGAGGGAGCTTAGCACATTTCAGCATGTTGCCCTGAAAAATACAGCAGTCATTTCATGAAACCAATGTCTGTCCTGTGCCACAGTTTGCAAGGTTAAAACTGCATGTTTGAAATTTAGAAAGCTGTGTGACCTTCCACAAGCCCTAGACTCCTAATCCACTTAACAGCTCTTCAGATTTTAACTTCAGTTTCCTGCTTCCTTCTTCATGCTTTCCACCTGTGTAGGGAAGGCTGTCTCCTCTCTCATGGAATATTATTTTCCAGCCTGTGATCCACATCCTCACAAAGAGATAATCAGAGACAGGAAAGCAATAAACCTTTATTCCCTCAAAGGACTTGGCATCACTAAGATCAATACACTTTCCAATCTCCTCTCTCTTTCTCTTAGCAGATAAGATTTGTGAGTAGATTGGTTTCTTTTGAAATGGGAAAGAAAAACGTTAGGGAAAACAGTTTGACACTGCTATCGTGGAAGGTAGGATAATTACTTGAAAAGAGTCAAATTTTTAATGTGAAATAACTCTACTGGACAGGATGAAAATCTGTGCAAAACAGCCTTGTTGACTCTTCGCTGAAGAATTGATCTTTGTTGAAGGGAGCATTAAGTGTTTCTACAAACACATCTCCTGTACTGCCTCAGTCTTACAGGTTTATTTTGCCCCATGGGAAATAAACTTCCTTTGTCTCATGGGCAGTCAGTGCACAGAACGACTGAGTAGACAGGCACCTCTTGTGATATGTCACATTATAACTTTTCCTATGCCTTATAGAAGGATTTGAGGTTATTATTCTCAAAACTCTCCTTCATGTATGATCAGCCAGCGTTAGCAGCTCTCTTGGTGCAGGCACCAAGGCCCATTTCTGAAGACCCACCCATCTCAGAAACTTCCAGCAGCAGATGAAAACCCAAATGTTGTGAATTGAATCATTTGGTATTTTGTAATCAGCCTCTGCTGCAGTCCATTATTTTGTATTGTCTTGTTGACTAAGGAGGAAAATTAATCTCTGAGCAGTTTATAACATAGTGTTTAAATATTTGTAGGCATTGTTTGTCTTCACTTAATCTTTTTCTAATCTGAGGAGATTCAGTTCTCTCAACCTTCCCTAATGGATCTTCTTTTTAATTATTTTTCATCCGTTTACTGGCCTTCAGGGGAAGCTTTGTTTCTGAGTTAAATACAATTCAGCCAGTGCCCTGTCTCTAGAAAGGTTTTCATCTTTGTGTGAAATGTGCTCTCTGCAGCTGGAGACCTGTGACACTGCATGCAAATCTATCCACTGCAGCCTCAGTTTTACATGCCCAGTCTCTCCACTGCCCTGCATCTAAGAGATTGTACATACAGATGAAAACAAAGCACAGGGAAATTGCAGATTGTTGTATTGGGCTGTTCACGTTGCTGGGCAGTGGAGAATCTGGTCCTGAGTTGTTCTGCTTGCCCCTTACAGCTTGAACTCTAGGACTGAGTAATTCTGCTTGATCTGCTTGAAGAATATTAATAATGAGCAACCCTGAGCCT